GATTTTCCTTCAAGCATCATTCTAAATTGTCAAAATTAATTCTAGAGTTGACAATATTTAAACAGCTCCTCCAGTTTTGACCTATTTAACTTAAGTAAAACATGTACTTTGATATAAGAAATACTTTCTAATTTTTAAATGGTTGGTTGTCCCTTCAGCCAACTCAGTTCTCATTTCTGTTATTTATGCCAGTAACTTATACTTCTCTATGTTGAGCATATATAAAATGTTTAATTTATAACAGATTAATTCATAACTAAAATAAATTTATAGCTAGAGATCACTTTAGGGAAATTATGTAATAATTTATAAAGTTTGTATGATGTCCCTGAGAGTGTCACACACAGACGGATATTTCCATTTTAAAGCTAATTGTAGACATATTGCCCCATTGTGCACCCATGGCATGTAAAGTTTTAACTCCTGGAATCATCACTGCATTTGTCAACATCAACATAGCTGTCCCAGTGTTTTGATGTATTATTATTTCAGCTCTTGTAGTTTTAAAACGCACTTTAGCCTGTTACGTAAATCATCTCTAACTGTCCTATAGATGGCAGCGTTGAGCAATGTATTCGGTAAGATTGCTTTTTTGGTTTCTGTGAATTTTCAGTTGGGAGTGAATTTTTCATACAGCATATTTCATTACAGTACACCTCAAGACTTATTTAGCATACGGTGGCAAGGTAATACGTGTACCTGCTCAAAGTTACTTCAGTTTCCACAAAAGCATCTCTTTCTATTCTGTATATGAACCAGATTTCCAGTTATCTCAACCCATTAATAAAAAAGTAGAGAAAATATGAAATTACTATAGTATAATTATAATTAAATATTAACCACCTTTAACGGTGGTAGTAAAACATCAGCAAGTAGGAAGAAAGGACAAGAACATCCAATGATCAGTGATTATCCACCATCGGTTTGGAACAAAATGTCACAGCAATCTGGCTTATTTCATGATTTCTAATGGATATATTAGCCACTGAAGTGTTTTTAAAGCAGAAATCCTTTCCCGCTGAGATTTTTTTTTTAAAAAGCTTTTATAATAACAATTAGTTTTATATGATCACAATTCTAACCTTTCTGTGAAGATTATTCTAGAATAGTTGCAAATTAAGTTGATCTTCCAGAGGACTCTTTCTTCTAGAAAAGAGTATTTTGTTTTCCATATAGGTGTATTTCTTTTATTTAGCTTTTTTTTGGGGGGGGGGATCATTTCAAAAGTAAATGGATTGGGATTGTTTTCCCTTCAAAATTTGAAATATTCTTAACCCCCTC